TCATTACAATCACCACAACCGACCGATCTTTATTAAAAAGAAATTCATCACTCTTACCTAAGAGTCAAGACCGTTCACTATTTTATGCAGTTTCATAAATATACTCTTCAAATTTCAAATTTCAAATATATGAATATTTTATGTCAAAGAAGCATAAATAAGCACGAATGGAACAAAGACTATAGTACCACAAGCTGGCATAAATAGAGCAAAAACTATAGTACCAAAAATAAGTACAAATAGAACAAAAAACAAAATCAGTATAATTAGAACAAGACGTAGTACAAATAAGTAATAATAATATGTAGAAGAAAGAAAAAATAGTTATAAACCAAAATCGAATCGTCGCTGATGTTTTTGTATGAATAAATTAAGAATCTTTTCAGCATCGATTTCCACATTTTTGTGAATGAATGCAGTTGCAAGACCGTTTAAACGGTTTTCGACCATCGTTGATCTGCAATACGTTTTGATGCGTTTAAGCGCACTAAAGGCGCGTTCCGCCGAGCTGGTAGTAACTGGAAGAGTAGCAAGAAAAACGAGTAGAAAATGGACATTTGGATATAGAATAGGATCACATTTGGTGAGTAAATCATTCATCCATAAGTTAAGGTAATTCGGTTTGTTGACGAGATTAATACATTCATTTTTCCACCTCTCCAGTTCACCGAAAAGTTGAAGAGGTTGTGGTAAACGATCGGAAAACTGTTCTGTTAATTGTTTGTATAGTTCAGTTGTTGAACAGCTTTTAGCAGTAATACATTCCGGTCGTAACCGGGTAAGTAATTGTATACGTGGATGACCAAATATAGAAAGACGTTTATCGACATTAGCTTTCAATTCACGTAGAAAAGGAAGAAAGACTTGATCGCGGTAAAATTCTTCCGGATCAAGAATATGTTGACCATGTCGTCGTTGATATGTTCGTGGAGCTGATGGTTGTACGAATAATTCCTTGGCAATTTCTTTAGCTTGTTCAAATACTATATTTTTGAAATAATCAACTGCATTAGCTTCTCGCACATTGAATGTTTTGAGTACTGATGAAACATGATGATGAGCCACACCAAAGTCGATTGTAGGTGTTTGTAGAAGACGACTGAGTGGCGTAATCTCACCGAGTAAAAAGCATGCAATACATGTACAAATGATAGTTTCGAAACTATTGATTGGATGGTATAGTTGTTCCGAAGATGAGTCTCCTTCGATACGAAGAACATCAAGAGTATTCGAAATTGGAATGTATAATTCGAGAAAAGTTTCTATTGCAACGTTTCGTTCAACCCAGCGAGTATCACACTAAAATGACAGTTTATGATGTTGACAATATTTACAGAATATTTTTCTCTTACGAAAACTCTTTTAGGAAAAACTGAAAGAAATATTGAAAACAGATTTATACTTGAATTGTGCTTCTGATTGAAACGATTGAACTATTTGCTTTGCGTAGATATGAAGACGTCCGGAAATTTATTTCTCAATGAACACAATGTCTTGAAATAGTAACATCGATAATAAAAAAACGCAGAGAATAATTGAGGATGTAGTTGTGACGTCGTTTTACTTTGAGAAACGAACAATGTATGTTCCCTGAGCAAACTGATTCCATTTGATATAAATTTTCTTAGGTTGAGTGAAAAATACGAACTTAGGATTTATACAATAAATTTATCTCTTTACCAAAAATTGTTTAGATAACTATCAAATATAAAATATATCAAGAGTAACCATTTTAATTGCAAAAATTGAGTAACAGAAATGCTTATCTTTCATCTAACATGAAGATCAGTTGGTTGAATAGAATCAATTTACTTATGTGATAGAATGGACGTAGTGAAGAAGTATTTGCACTTACTAAAGACAGCAGTCGTTTCTTCTTACTGATAATAAGATAATCGTTGTCTGGTCGTTCAATTTCGTATTTGAGTGCGTTCGAACGTTTAGGCGAATCATTGAAGAAAGCAATAACAGATTTGATAATTCCAAACATGTTGCGAATGAAGTGAGACGAACTTGAATCAATAAGAGCAAGATTTAACAAGTGAGAAGTACAATGCATATATTCAGCATCAGGACAGAATCGTTTAATGATAGCTTGACAACCATTAAAAATGCCAGACATACACGGTGCACCATCATATGTTTGCCCAATGCAGTTGGTAAGTGAAAGTTGAAATCGTTTTAAACATGATAAAATGTGTTCAGCAATGGCTTCACCAGTTGACGAAGTAGTATGCACGAAGCCGAGAAAATCTTCACGAATTTTATGTGAATGTGGATCGACGTATCGAATGAGAAAGCTTAGTTGATCGATGTTGGATGAATCGGTAGTACCATCGACTATTATAGAATAAAGTGTAGTTGGACCCACACGAGACAGAAGAGATGACAAAATGTGTTCATGAATAAGTTCAATAATTTCGTTTTGAGTGGATGAACTTGTGTATGTTGAATTACGATTTCCTTGTTCAAGATGAGATCGAAGAACGTGATCACCAGCATCAATACGTTGTTTGAGAAGTGAAATGAAATTAGATCCAGATGGTGCTTCAACAGCATCGAGATGTTCTCGAATTGACATAACATCTTCACCTAAAAAAAAACATTCGCATCATGCACTTCGTTTTCTTGAGATTATTCTTTAGTTTTAATGCTACATAGCTCAGAAAAAGCAATAACAATAGTTCGTAGACAATCTCTGATCTGATTTAGTCACATGATCACTAATGTCTTCGTTAAACATCTGTTCAATTTTGCATGTCTCATAGACTTTTATTCCGTGACTCGAATAATATATTCCTCTTATCTCAGATCCCATTTTCGAGCTAGTAACGATATGGAATTACAAGCGCTTTTGAGATCTAATCAAAATTGCTTTGCGAGAACTAAAATTCCTATAGATGAACATTTAAACAGTAATTAAGTTTTCAAGTGCTATTTTTTCAGGACGATTCTCTTGATCTTCAATGTGGAAATCATCTGTCAATCAATCACCATTTGATTTCTATGACACGAAAATCGGTTACCTATAATTTAATAAAGGATCACTCATCGTTTATTTTGTTACGAGACTAACTAGAAAACAATTTTCAACTACATTTTTTAGAAGAAGAGAAAAACTTACTTCGATGACCACGAAGGGCAATATTTTGTCGTGCACATGTAATCACCACCTTAATAATTGACAGAAGTATCGATTTGTTTTTTTCAATCACATCGATTCTGTTTCGATCAAGTTGATAGTCAATACCAGAAGACGGGTTTTCAAATGTTCGCACAAAGTTGGTGGCACGTACAATAGCTGTTTTATGATTTTCCGAATTAATGTGAGTTTTAATATGTGCAGTAAAATGTTTTAATTGACGAAATCGAGAACATGGATAGTGAACGAAGATAATGGCGGATTGACTTGATGCCAATGGTGAGAAAAGAGAACAAGCAGTGCAAAAAGCTCCTTCGTAGTATGGTGAGTAAGAGAGAAATGAGTGCTGGTCTAACCAGGTGAGCATAAATCGACGAACTGTTCCATTTTTTCCATATTGATTTGGAAATGTATATTTTTTATCAGGTTGAAATGGTTTTGTGAGAAGTTTATATTTGGTTTCATCTGTAAGTGGAGTATGTAGTGACAGCTGAAAACCAATATCATTATCATGAGTATCTGGACGAGAGTCGATAACAATTAAGTTTTGATTCACATTAGAAGGATCGGTATTTTCTGATTCTTCCGGTTCACCATCAATAGATTGAGCAATTTCATGAGTAACAAGTTCAGATTGAATGGATTCAGTAAGTTGATACGAAGATGATGTGACGAGTGGTTTTTTCGTAATAGTAACAAATGAATCAAGTGAAGCATGTTTTCGTTTATCACCAGACATTTTAACACATAAAATGTTCAGTACACAACTAATTGTGAATAGCTCTATCAATAATTTCACTGCTCTTTATCACTCTATTTTATTCGACGAAAAAAAAATGGTTGCTATTTTCTATCATTCAACCGCAACATCAATAGTTTCTTTCATCTTTTTACGCCTGCAACGATCATCATTGTGTGTTAATTAATGTTGACGACGATGCAGGTTCGTCCATCTTTTTTGTCGGAGAATAATGAATGTCACTTTTTTTGTTTTGTCAGATAATGAAGAAGTAAAGGTTAATTTGTCTTCTTTCATCGGACAAACACAAGAGTTAGTTTGTTCTCTTTCTTCCAACAATCACAAGCGTTGTTCCACAATTATTACTGAAAAATCTCACCAAAACTGATTGTGTTCTTCTGTATGACACTGATGCTCAGGTATTTATGCGTTCTCTAAGTTACAGATTACTAATCTATTGTCACTGCTCAGAATTCTTGATCATATGTTCAAGGCACTTTCATTAACATATTGAATTGTGTTTTTATTTACATTTCTATTGAGTTCATAAGTTGCCCATTTTGAAGTTGCGATAGTCACATCGCTGTTACATAGTCAAAGATTTCAGCCAAGATTACTTCAACCATTTGTGTTTGATAAGACTGTATGCCATTAGAAAGGTCGACAAGCATTTATCGATATTCTTCATTGGCGAGTTTAACTGAAATAACAAGTATGCTGACAACAAAACTATTGCTGAATTGTCACCATTGTGAGCATCGGCTCCATCAAAAGGATAGGGAGTTAATATTTCTGAGTCATCAAATTAGATCACAACAACAGATGTATTAATATAACGACATTTGGGATTTCCAAACTGCATGTGTGTCAATATTTTTCGGCAATGGGCAATTGGTATCATTTAAAAATACTCATGGGCCATTACTTTTAAATTGCTGGGCAATTGCCCATTGGCCCTCCCCCTGGCTACGCCACTGGATACACGATAATGTTTACTCGGGATTAGAAAATCGGAAAAAAGGATCAGATGTTGATAATCTAATACATGAACAGTACTGGAATTAGGATAAAAATAAAAGTACGCAATCGATAATAAAGAATGCCCTATAGTTAAATACTGTTCAAGCATGTATGGAAAATACTCAGGCAATTTATTCACGTGTTGTTTCTCAATATTGAACGTTTATATGCATTTTGTACAGCTAGACTTCCGCTATCTAAAAATATCCAAGAGGGATTTTTTTGATCGTAATTTTGATTTTTTAGATGAAAAATACGATTCTCAACCATTTTGTCGTCGGTAGTATTATAAAACTTACAATAGAAAAGAATATTATTAAAATATATTTATTTATTTATCTCTCTCATATAGGGTAGATTCTATTTTGTAGTTTTTATTTATTTTTCTTTAATCGGTTTCATATTATAGTTTTTCAAATTCATATTCGATTATAATCTGCTTATTCAATAGATTTATTATTAGTTTGTTTTATTACGTTTGTTGATATTTCTGATAATTCGAAGAATTTAAAGTCAACAATATAAGTCTAAATGATCCTGTTTGAATATATAAAAAGAAAAATATATGAACAGAATGATCTCATGTTCCATTCCGAATATAAAATAAATGAGTACTATAGCGTTAAAGATAGTATTTAACCCTTAAGAGCATTCGTCACTTTTACACGGTGGAGATAAGTCGCATCTTATTTTCGTCGGTTTCGTACATGTCTTTGTTCAACTCATCTATCTTATTTTCGTCATTACTTAATTATTTCGCGTAATTTTCAAATTATTTTTGGAAATATTAATTAAGGTAATTATCTCCAGGTGTTTTTGCATTAGGTGATAACTTAATTATGCCTCCAAAAAAGGAGGAACAGGTTCAAACAAACAAAGGCACAGTAGTGTTAATTCTATTAACACACAACAAGGTCAAACAGCAGTAGCTGATGTTGGAGGAACAATGGCGATGAGTCATAGTCCAAGAACAAAGGCTTCTGCTAGAACAAAGGCAGGATTAAAGGTCCAATCAAAGTTTAGCATTGCCCCTCTAATTCTAGAGGGCGTGAAGTTAAACAAACTACAATTAAATGATGCTATTAAGCAGAATTTAAAAGACTTACGAATATTTGATATTCAGCTAAGTCGAACAGGTAATTTCACACTATATGCAAGCGATGTTAGTTCGTTTAATCGTCTGTTAAATGAGCTGATACCAATTCTTGCAACAAATGGACAGGCTACAGCCAAAATATATGTGCCTCGATCCATTCAACGTATCAAAGATACGGGAAAAGTCGCGTTTGTTAAAAACGTCGACATAGAAATTCCTGAAGGTCGAATAACTGAAGCATTAAAGAACGTTGGACTTGATGCTATTGATGTTGTTCGACTGGTGAACAAAACTAAAAACGTTTCAACCAGAACAATCAAAATTACATTTGCTGATCCACAAAATCGAAATACTTTCATTCGTACTGGTTTACAAGTGGATTCAATGCATTTTGTAGCTGAAGCAGCAAATCAAAACACCAAACCTGCACAATGCTATATATGTCTGAAATACAATCATGTGGCAAAATTCTGCAAAACGAAGCAACAGATATGTGCTCGATGTGGTGAAAATCATCGCATTGAACAATGTACTGCTGCTAGTGATGTAGTAAAATGCTGTAATTGTAAATGTAGTCATGTAGCAACATCAAGTGAATGTGCAACTTATAAAGAACAGGAGAAAAGAATTAACAATTTAATTAATCAATATTCAGCTCCAAATACACCAACAAAAACAGTTCCAGCCATTCATGACTTAAATGAATTTCCATCGCTACCAAACCTCTTACAACATCAACAAGAACACATTCATAATGAATTATTCGATGAAATTATCAATGTACTAAGCAGCAAAATGGAAAAGATTATCGAAGAAACAACCAGCCGACTATTTCAGACACTACTTAAGAAGATGAAAAAGATCGAAACCTTCATCGAAACACACGACAACAACGTTAAAGGTGCCTTGACTATCTCGGATTCTGATTCAGAAAAAGAAAGTCAAGTAGTTAAATACATTAGAAACAAGCAAAAACAAACGATAGCAATAACCAAATTAACCACCTCAGCAACTGATACATCAAGCATACCAACAACAACTTCAAACGTAACTTCAACAAAACCACCACGAAAAGCTAAAAAAGGATCAAAACCAACCAAAAGAATTCGATCACCCAACAGCTCCTTAGATGCATCGACATTTGACAGCAAAGACCTGAAAACAAGCAACAACGATGATTAGTATATGCCATATTAACATAAACTCCATTATAAAACATAGGAACGAACTCCTAGCCAGATTCTCCAAATACGACATCATATCTGTAAACGAAACTAATCTTAAGAGCGAACGCTCGTTCTCTCTAATGGGTTATAATATTTTCAGAAATGATTGAGTAGGAAAAACTGGTGATGGAGTGTTATTAGCCGTGAAACAACATATCAAATGTCAAGAAGTACTTAACTCAACAACACAAAAAAATGAAGTGATAGCAGTACAGATTGAGACAAAAACATTTAAATCAATACTGGTATCCTCCATTTACGTTCCATCTACAGCCAAAATTGACCTCAACATTATCCACGAACTTTACAACATCAACAACAACTGTATTATGGTAGGAGATTTAAATGCAACATTACATCATATGGGATCAAGAAAAACAAATGCTAGAGGAAGACAGCTGCAAGAATTATTCAAAGAAGGCTTTATTGAATGTGTCAACGATGATAGTACAACATTTGAAAAGAATGATTATGAAGAAAAACTCCACTGGATATTAGCAAGTGAACCACTTCTTTCATTTATATCAAATGTTGAAACTCATCCAACAATAGGCACACAAAGTGGGCAGGGTGTGGGTGTGGGTAGGTGTGGGTGTGGGTGTGGGTGTGGGGTGTGGGGTGTGGGTGTGGGGTGTGGGTGTGGTGTGGGTGTGTGGGGTGGGTGTGGGTGTGTGGGTGGGGGTGTGGGTGAGTATGAGTGTGGTGTGGGTATGGTGTGGGTATGGGTGGGGATAGGATGTGAACACACCAACCCACCTGCAGCCACACCAACCCACCTGCAGCCACATCCACCCACACCTACAGCCACACACACATCCATACCCCACACCGACACCTACATGCACACGCACACCCACCCACAGCCACAGCCACAGCACACCCAGTACACTACAACTTACTGAAACACACATTTCATTAGGTTACACTGTGATCTATGCCTACAACGATACTGTGAAGAAGGTACCGAAACTAAATAGGTATCATAGATCCTATATATGCAGAAAAATTTTCCATATTTCGAGTTTCTCTCTTTTTCAAGTGACTTTTTCTGAAAAGAATTAGCTGTTTCCTCAGACGATAATTCACAGAGAAAAGTATGATTCTTTCCACAGAGATAACTATTGAAGTTTTTGAAACGCTGTCTTCAGATTCAAGTTCTTCGAGCGTGTTACTTTTGCCAACCTTTATTCAGAATTCACCGTGAATGTTTTCTCACCGTGTCGCAAAATGGCACACAGACCGATAAATTATTTTCACTTTTTTCCACATGAATATACCTACAGTCGAAGGAACTATTGAAGACAGTATGGTCCAATCGATTTCACTCAATAAAGATCACTTCAAATTTTGTCGCGGATTTCTATGGACCCCGAAATATTGCTTACTCACCTTGAAGTCGACTCGTGATCTTATAGGCAACGCGACTCTGTCCTCAAGAGAATTTCACCAGGAGAAGACCGATCAACTAAACTTTGCAGTCTTTAGAAAAGTGCTTCTGGGAGTGTAGGATAATATCCTGCTCAATAGAGAATAATGAATTATAGTGAAAAGTTTACTTTTCTCAGGAATTTTCAATTAAAGCCAGTGTAGAGATATACTTTCGCCGGTTTTTTTCGTTGTTTGTCTTATCTATTTTCTTATCAGACAAATGTTTCTGTAAGTAGGACAGGTGGGGAGAACTTATTTGACAACAATATTGCCAAATGAAAACAGCCATTATCTGAAAAAATGACGGAGCAGTTTTTATCTAACCTCTGTTGCAAAAGTCTTTGCACAAAATATTCGTTCACTT